AAGGAGGAGGAGAGGAAGACGAAGAAGACGAAAGGAGGTGGAGGCGGAGGAGAGGAAGAAAAAGAAGAAGAAGAGGAAGGAAGGAGGTGGAGGCAGATACACCACGACGGGACAGGACCTTGACGGGCGGCGACGATGGGGAGGGCTGCTCGACGGGGCAGGTCGACGGGGAGTGATGACGCGCGGGCTTCAAGACGGCAGCAACGGCGACAACGACCGACGACAGGGCACCTCGATGACGATGACGGGGCACAGCTCGATGGCGACGATGGGGCAGCGCTACACGGAGCGACGACTGGCGGGCTTGGAGACGGCAGCAACGGTGGGCTTCGAAAATGCAGCGAAGCGGGAATACAGCGTTCGAATTCGAACGCGGCTTCGTAGGCGACCAGGGGGGCGAATCAAGGCTACAACGGCAGTAACGCGGGGGGAATTTCGCGCGGGGGGCCGGGAAGGCTGCCACTGGCCAAAAAACTCGAAAAAAGGCCTCCCCCCCCCGCCCCGCGCAAAATTGTGCTGGGCCCGCCCGACGCCAAACCGGGGGACCCAACCGGCCGGGCCGCCCGGGACCCCTGCCGGACGAAGGCTGGGCCGCCGGGCGGCCCGGATTTTAACACAGGTATTCATGGCATTTCCTGTACAATCAAGCTTGTAAAATCAGAAGGCAACCCTATACACCCCCGTGTGGTGGTCCTGGGTACCTCATTCCCCTGATCCCAGGCCTACTGGCTTAAGGACTTTCCGGAGCCTCGCTAGAGTCTCTAGGACTAACTTACCACCCTCACACTTTTCCTTGTCCAACATATACGCCTTCAGACGTGTTCTGTGCCGATTTCACCACGGTTCCGTGCAGCAGAATATACTCAAATCAAGTGTGGGTACTTGAGCTACCAATTTTTACATTTACAAGCGGGATTAGATGAACACAATTGCCGAAAGAGCAACGGAGGCGTGCGAAGGTAGGGTCAATTGCCTAAAGAGCAACGGAGGCGTGCGAAGGTAGAGTCAATTGCCTACAGAGCGAAGCGCAGCTGTAGAGCGTAATTCCGAGGCCTAAGGCACGATGAGCCCCCTTTTGGCCCTGTTTGCAGTGTTGTCGGCCGCCCTAAGTGAAGGCAGGCTCAACTAGGACCTAGGGGCCCCCTTTCTCAGGCCATCTCGCAACTGGGGAAAATCAGACAGTTGCGCGGCGTCAGTTGGTTGCAAGCGCCCAGGCCCAGGCATCCATTTTGCAAATGTATCTGAAGTACGCACTGGGCCAGACGCATATACACACCGAACACAGGCTGTGGGCAGTTGGGTACGGGCAACTAACTCAGGACCTGGGCCTGTGCTGTATGGACTGGGGCTCAGTCACTCAGGGCCTACTGGAAGCTTCCGGGCGTGGGCCCAGCGCAGCCTGGCCGCAGCAGCAGGCAGGACACTTCCATTTAGTAAAGGGCCTGCCTCCGCATTTGGCATTCGGGCACTGGCTGCATGCTGCGCAAGCGCTGCCGTGCTAACCCTGGCCAGCGCTCACGCGCTCACAGGCGAGCTCGAAGGAGCAGGCAGCCATAGCCGAGCTCCGCTGCTGTATGCTGGGTGGGGCGCATGGTGCTTCTTGGGTGCATGTGGCATCTGTGAGATGGGGATCGAGGTTGTGAGTGATACGAAAGACATACCTGGTGCTTGAGGCGAACGGCATTGGCCAAGATCTGCTCGTACTTCGGGGAGCTGTTGGAATCATCAGCGGCATTGTAGATAGGCTAGATAGGATCTGCCATCTGTAGTCTGGGCTCCGAGCGCCAGATAGGATATCGACATTGGTTCTTCATTGATGATGATGAGACTATTCCAGCATTGTCAATTATGAGCTTTTGCTGTGCTCTTATTTGGTGAAACTCATGATGCAATTCTGCTATTGGTTCGAGGTCACCACTATCTGGTCTCATGTGTATGACGCTGTTTGATTTCTGAAGTTCACTATCGCTCATTTTCCTTGCAATTTGGTATCAGAGCTGTGGTACGTTGCGCTCATCTGGCGCTTGTCTTCTCCCTTTGTGGTACATGCACGTGGTCTGCTGGGCGAGCGGCCGTGGGAGGTGTGTAGTGAGGAGGGTGGAGACAAGTGAGGCGACCCAGGAGGTGAAGGGTATCGCCAGGAAGGCTACTATGTGGTGATTATTGGGTGTTCGCAGTGTGATGAGAACTATCCGATGTGTGATTCATGCTGAGGTGGAACGGCGGTGCAATGCTGGTTGTGCCGAAGCAGCGATTGGTCATCACAATCAACATCGGGTCATTTGGTGAGAACATCTGTGATTGGGGGCAGCTATTTTGAGGTACGTTGCACCTAACCTTATCTATCCTCTTCGACACTTCTTACCGGGAGGATGTGTGTTCTGTCTTGAGAGTCCTCTCATGTGAGAAGTCATGTGCGCTCAACCTTGAGAGTCGTCAGCCTTCACGTGGAGCATCCTGAAGGTGAGGGCGGTGCTATCTGAAGGGCCCTGGACGAAGCACTGGGTCACGGTCACCATGCCAACCCACCGGGAGTAGAACACGCATGCTTTGCTACTTTGTCCTTTTGTCTGCTCGC